TCCTGTCGAGAATGCTAATGAGATCTAGGAAAGGTAAATACTTCGGTCAATTTTGGATGTTCCTATTTAACACTTACTATTTTTTTACTGATTGGTTTCGCTTAATTCACTAACTCGCTCCTCTGGGCTATTCGTTTGGATTACTTAATCTGTCTTCAGATCTATCAACTCTTGATTAGGGTTTTATAGTTTCCTGTCTTGTTAGCATTTTCGATATTTTTTACTAAATTGTGATGTTATTTTGATGGTAAGTATTCAGCCCTCTCTGGTCATAAATTTCCATTTCTTAAAATACTTTCTTTTTCTCTATTAGTTTTAAATCTGTCAATATTAATATTAAAGAGTGTCTTACCCATTTGGCACATGACTTTGTTGGGTAAACACAGACTAGTTTGTGCTTCCACATTTGCTTTTCCATCTTATTTAATTCGTACTATTGTCCTTTTTTGTTTAGTCTTATTGTCTCAAAGTGAAAGAAATGGATGATGAAGAGTTCAGCTATTCGGCCCTTCAGGAACCTTTGTACCGTGTAGAGACAGGAAACTACGAGTATAGATTGGTGCTACGCTGCCGACAGTTGGCAAGAGCTCGATTTGCGAAGATGCGCAACGACGTGCTCATCAAAATTGAACTGCTTGACAATAAGCACGGTACCTCTTTTGGCATGAATGCATATAAATTTGCGTGTTTATTTCGGATATACGCTAAATAAAAATAATTGTGCTGAAACTACAGATAATAATAATTTGTTGCTAGCTTCGCATTTAAGCACTATTTTTAGCCATTGATGCCTGTTATCCTCAAACCTTTCAATCGAGTGTTATTAAGGGCTTTTTAACCTTATTTTGAAAGTAAATTTCCAAAAATGTCCAATATTTATTCATAATGGAGTCTTTATTCCAAACATGCCTTCTAAAGTAAATCTTGCTTCGGAACCTCAAAAAGGCTTAAGTTTCATTTCATTGCACGCAGCTATAAAACTATGTTTTATAATAGTATATACAAATTTCCACCCTTTTATACCTAATTTTAGTTGAATAAAAATATAAG